AGCACTTATTTGCTCGATTCCTATATACACTCATTTCTGTTGTTTCTGGGTTTGTTTTTTTTTTCTGTCCTTTCCTTCTCTTTTCCTGTCTTTTATTAATGGAGTTTTCTTATTTTTCCTCCCCTCAGCTTCTATTCTTTAATGGCTACCTTAGAGACTTGACTCTGGACACTTAAAAAATTCTTATTCTTTTTTTCTTTTTAAAAAAAGGTTTTTGCCATAGTGTGTGTACATTTGCCAGAGAAAGGGAAAGTGAGAAATCACCTCTTCCCCCTCACCCCAGAAGGATAGCCATGCCACAATCCTCCTCCATTCTCCTCTCAGGATTTTGGGCATACATGTACATATGCCCAGCATGATTTTCAAGCTTTTGGGACCAGAACTCGAACCATAGTCAACCATGTCGGAGTCCAGCATCTTAACCACCATACCACCTGCTGGGCCCCATAAATCAACATTCTGATCCTCCTCTAACAATCCAAGAATCTTAGAGCACTACTTTCTGTTCTTTGTAACATTATTTTCTTCAATTTTTGATTCTGTCCTTTTTTTAACCCCATGATTAAAACAGCATCATCATCATTATTTTGGACAGAAGATGCTTCACTTGCTTCATGTTTATGGATTTCTTTGTTCCTATTACTTCTTGCTTTGAGACCTCCTTTCAGAGCTCACTTTCCTTCATTCAGTAGTACATCTTTCAGAAGTTCCATTACTAAAGGTCTGTGGGTGGTAAACTCTATTTTAATGTTTCGAGGGTTTTCTGCTGTTCTTTTTTGTTTCTACCTTCATTCTTGAAATGCAGCTTTCCTGGGCATAGGTTTATTTTTTACTTTCCATCAGTTTTTTGAAGATAACATCCCATTGGATGGATACTGGTTTTCATTGTTTTGAGAAGTAAATGCTGTCAATCTGATTTCTGTCCTTTTGTGAGTGAGCTGTCATTTCTCTCTGGCTGCTTTGTCTTTGGCATCTGTAGTTTCATTATAACATGTCTAGGTAGGGTTTTGTTTTGTTTTCTGCTGTGGTATATCAATATATTGCCCTTCCTGTATCTGTGAATACATGGGTGCAGTTCTGAAAATTCTCAAGCCTTCTCTTCAAATATTTCTTCTGCTTTATTGTCTCTAGTCTCCCCTTGGGATTCCAAATAGACTTATATTGGGTTTTCTTCCCTCATCCTCTTTCACAATGATCTTGTTCATATTTATATGTCTTTGTCAACCTGTGGAACTTTTGCTAATTTTCTTTCTCAGCTGAGTCTTTCAGTGTTTCAGCGCTCTCTTCAGCCTTGTGCAATCTGATGTTTGCTTGTTCTCTGAGTTTCAAATTCAAATGGTCACATAAGGGATTTTTTAAATTTGGTTTTTAAATTTCTGTTACTTTTGCCATCTTTTGTTACCTGTTTATTCTTTTGATTCTATCTTTCATTTCTATGTGCATCCCACTTATTTTATAGTCAACATCTGATCATTTCAAATCTTATGTCCTTGAACATCTAAGTCCTGCTCATCTCTGAAATGCTCACAGGTGCACTTGCCATTAGGAAAGGTTCTCCTATTGAACGTCCTTGCTGCTCCAGTTTGACATTTAATTTGCTGGCTTTTGAGGGTGGAACATGTGGTGCTGAAGAAGTTACTATCTTTCAAGATTTCTTTTACTTCCTATGAGCCCAGAATTTCATTTAAAAAAATTTTTTTTACAAGAATCCAGACTAGGGGGCCCAGTTCTGATGGCACAAGCATTGCTAAGACCCTGTGCTCCACAGCCTGGGGTCACATGAGAGGCCTACATTTAATTCCCGCTCCAACCTAAAGGCAAGATGCGGTAGTGTGATCCATTAATCTCTGTGGCGTGGGAGGCTGCGACAGGAGGATCACAAATTTGAGGCTGGCCTGAGCAACGTGGCGAGACCCTGTATGAACAAGAGCTGGGTGTGGTGCTGTGCACCTGCAGTTGCAGCTGGGAGACTGAAGCAGGAGGATGACATAGCAAGACTCTGCCTTAAAGGGGAAAAAAAAGAAGAGGGTCTTTTGGAAGACCTTCACGCTACTGGAAATTGAACTCTGAATCTCATACTAAAATTTACTTTAAAAAAAATTTGATCTTATTTATTATCGTCATTATTATTATTTTTTAACCAGAGAGAGATGGGGGGTGGGGACATGAGGAAACAAGCAACCAGATCTGAGACTTGAACCATGGCCGGCCATGTGGGAGTCTAGCACCTTAACTACCATGCCACTTGCCAGTCCCAAGACTGAAATATCAAAGGAATGGTAAGAGTAGGAAAAAAAATGGTTATAACCTGTTTCTCAGGGGACTTCAAAAAGTTCATGGAAAATGGAATTAAAGTACAAGTTTATTTTGATGGAAAATAAATTTTGAAATCCATGTATGATTTTTTTTCATAATATGCATTTTCCATGAGCTTTATGAAGGACCCCCACCACCACCATATATCTGTAAGGTACAAACAAAACCAAGGGACAAAACCACACTGGCTCACGAAAGCCAGCTGTGTGTGTGCCTTCCCAACTCTGTATTCAGTGACAGATTGGTAGCTTGAAATAAACCAGTGCTAGGACCAGAAGTTGGTGTAAGGGTTATGTCGCTGGACTCTCATGCAGTCAACAGCGGTTCGCATCCCAGATCCAGTGGCTTAAAACTTACGCCGGGTACGTGTGCATGCATGCCCAAGATCCCAAGAGGAGAATGGAGAAGGGATTGCAGTGTGGTCATCCTCCCTGGGGGAGTGACTTATCGCTTTCTGTCTTTCTTTCTGGTGAGTGCATGCACCCTATAGCAAAAACCTCTCCAAAAAAGAAGTTATTATGGGGACCAGCAGATGGCATAATGTTTATACTGATGGACTCCCACAGGGTTGACTGTGGTTCGAGTCCCAGACCTGGTGGCTTAGAACTCACACCAGGTGTGTATACAAAGAAGTTGACCAGTGCTATAAATTAGAGATCTTTTTAGAGATCTTTTCTCCCCTGGCACCTAGCTGTTATCAGCATACACCGGGTAAAACCCTCTTCAGGCTGGCCCCAGCCATCAATAACTCACTCATGCCAACAACTTGATCTCTCAGCTCCATTCAGAGTAGACAGTGACTTGTCCCTGATACACACAATCGTTCTGGCCTTACTCACCTGCTCTGGTATCACTGAATATGATAAGACGCGCTGGTGCCCCTCCCGGCCTGACTCCCTCCCTCCCCCTCAGAGACTTCTCCCACCCCAACACCAGTCTTCCTTCCCCTGCTGACGTGGCTACGAATGATTCTGCTGACTGCCAGAGCGGATATCCCAGAGGTACCCGTGTGACTTGCTTTATAGTTAATCACATCCTGCCTTTTCCATTATTATCCTGAACTTCTAGTTGAACTATCTGTTATTTAACCGTTGGCATAAATTTTAATTTAATAACATGCATTTTGGTCATGTATGTGAATGGTGGTGGGCTTATTTCAGACTAAGCTTGAGTCTAGATGTCTTATGCTCAGGTTCAAGATGACGCTGCCACCAACTTGTGGCCTTGGGTGTGTCATTTTGACTGTGGCTCCTCCATCACTGTAACCTAGTACCTGTCATACAGAAGGTGAAGCTAACCTTCATTGACCTTGACTAACATCCTCAGCCTCCTTCATCCACACTTGTTAAACTAGACCAGGCCATCTGGAAAGACCCTTCCAGCGCTCTTATGTGGTGGTTTGTAGCTGAACGGCAGTTACAAATGGCTCCCAGAGGGCAGGTCTTAAAGAGACCGCCCTGGGAAATGGAAACGGTGCAGGCCCTGAAGTTGGCTGCATCTGAATCTCAGCTCCACCACCCGCTGGTTGTGTTACCTTGAACAGTCACACAGATGCAGAGAATAATTAAATCTGTTTCACGAGGTCATCTGAGGACTGACGGAGACTGTGTCTGCAGAACATAAGGCATAGTGCCTGGTACAGAGCCGAGCCCCTGTCCTGCAGTCTGTGGGGTCTCTCCAGCACCATGGTGGCTATCAAACCAGCACATGTGGCCTGACAATCTATTGGGATGGATTTTCCATCTGTATTTGTCTATTTATTTATTCTCATTTTTTAGAAAGGGTCTCCTTAGGTCATAATCCTCCTGACTCAGCCCCAGCTTCCTGAGTAGCTGGGACTACAGGTGCACATCACCACACTCAGCCTTTAGGGTGCGCCAGGAATCGAACCTGGGCCTCCCATGTGGCCTCAGCCTGCTGAGTAGCAGCGTTTACCAGCACACTACCGAGAGGCTGCCATAATTTTTTATTAGACTATGGTCACAAATTTCAGCACCCAGGGTTTTGAGGAGACCACAGCCTCCTTCCAGCCCCAAAGCCACACCAACTCCCAAAGGAGAAAGGCAGAGAGACCATGGCCCAACCTCCATTCCTCTCTCCTCTGCAGGATTCTTCAGGATCCCCAACTGCTGGCCCAGCCTCATAAAGAGACTTATGGGTGCAGGACAGGAAGGGACTTTAGCCAAGGGTGAGAGAAAGAGATGAGAGAAAGAGGGGCCCAGGCCCTGCTGGAGCTGGCACTGCAATGTACAAACAGGGGCCGGGCACACAGAAGAGGTGAGGGGGCGGACCTGGCATCTGATTTCCTTTTTCCTTTTCAGGAAATCAAAAGCTACTTCAGAGAAGGTTGAGTTTATGGGAATGCAAAAGGGTGAAGTGATTGTAAATCTTCACAATAAACTCATCTAAGAGCAGGGAGTGGGGCCAGTTCTGCAAAGGCCTCCAGGCCCATCTAGCCACCGCCCACACTCTGGGCAGGCAAAGCCCGCACCTGCACCTCCCCGAGAGGCCTCTCAAGGCATTTCTCACTCCCCCATCCCCGCCTGGCCCCTTTAGGTTTCTAGGGGGTATCCCACGGCATCTGCATCGCTCTTAGCCGAGGGACGATGGCCCCAGACACAGCATGTGTTCCTCGGATTTCACTATTATTTGATGCCAGGGACAGAAACAGGCCTGAAACTTACCAACAAATTCTGGTGTCCCAAAAATGTTCTTAAATTCAACTCCATCTTCTATTTCATGAGCCAGGCCAAAGTCAATCAGCTTGATGTGTGGAATGGGAATATTCTTGTCTAACAGCATAATGTTTTCTGGCTGGAGAACAAAAAGGTGGGGGTGGGGGAAAGGAAGAAAAGAAACAATTAAAGCCCTAGTTTGTATTTTTACTTTGGGGTCTAGGGGTGGAGTTTGGTGTTCTTTTTTAGAACAGAACAGCATAAGCTCTTTGGTGTTTTTGTGTCCTCAGTTTTCTGTAAACTCCAAAACAGGCAGAGGGCTGAGGGCACAGCCTGGGCTTTACTGAACTTGCAGCTGATGGCAGAGCCAGCCTTCACTTTCAGCTTTCTGTCCCTTTAAAGTAGTGTCTCTGCTTCCCAATCTGCCAATAGGGTCAGTGCGATGCTTAGAGCGTTTCCTAAAAAACAAAACCACCACCTTGGGCCGGCCCTGTGGCCTGGTGGTTAAGGGAGCCAGATCCAACATGGCCACCGCACAGTTCAAGTTGTGGCCTGAAAAACATGACAGGTGCATGTGTGTGCATGCTCCAAATCTCAGCAGGATGGAGAAATGGAGAATAAGGGATTGAAGCATGACCACACTCCCCTGGAGGCTGCTTCCACTCTCTCTTTCTCTGTGGCAGTGTACATGCCCTTTGACCAAAAACACACACAAAAAAACCCAAAAAACAAAAAAAGCAAAAGCAAAACCACCACCCCTGTGTGAGTGCAGTGGGGGTGGGGCACCACAGCCCAGCCTGGGTTTACTCTGGCTCTCTGACCTTGGTCTTCCTGACCCCCCCTGTCCCGTCCAGCCAGCTTCCTGTTGACAACACTCCCCTCCTCTAAACTAATCATGAGGCTCACATTTCTCTATGTGTTTAACTAATTTGGGCCCTCAGCAGGACACAGGAAAAGCAGCACCCGATTTCCAGGGAAAATACTAGCTGCCCGGGCTATTTCCAGCCCAGCAAACAGCTGCCAGGTTGGAGACACAGTGAGGGCCAGTGGGGAGGGGGCGGCGCTGCCCTGGCCCACAGAACCTGGCCCCCACTGAGGCTGGGGCAGGCTCCTGAGTTCTCCCTTCCCACTCCCACAGCGGTCCTTCTGCTCCACCCTGTTGCCCCTCTTCCCTCACAGCTGCCCTGGATGCCACCCAAACGGAACGTCCTGGAAATCTACATCCACACATGTGTTCATGCATGTTCACAGCAGCTCTTTCCCAAAAGCCCCAAAGCAGAGACACAACCTGAATGTCTATCAACTGATGAATAAAGAACACGTGACATGCCCGCACCACATACGGTGTTCATACATGAATACTATTCAGCCATAAAATGGGAAACTGTTAAAATAATAAAAGGCCGAGCACGGTAGCATACTCCTGTAATGCCAGCTACTTGGGAGGTGGAAGCAGAAGGATGGCAAGTTTGAGGCCAATCTTGGAAACTTAGACAAAACAAAAATTGTCTAAAAATAAAATTATAAAAATGAGAAATGAAAAAGACATGAAGTACGGATATATACTACAGCATAAATGCACCTGAAAACATTATGATAGGTGAACAAAGTTTAGACACAGAACTGCATGGAATGAAAGGTCCCGAAGAGCAAATCCATTGAAACTAAGTAGATTAGGGGTTTCCTAGGACTGAGGGGCTGGGGGGAATAGGGAGTGACTGCTAATGGGCACGTGGTTTCTTTTTGGGGTGATGAAAATGTCCTAAAATTGATTCTAAATTTGTTCTATAAATGACTGTGGCATTGGTTATATGACTTTGTAAGTTGTACATAAATGGGTGAATTACAGGGTAGGTGAATTATAGCTCAATAAAACTGTTAAAGAAATACATAAATTGGGACCAGCAGTTAGTGTAATGGCTATGTCACTGGACTCCCACGTAGTCGACCGCAGTTTGAGTACCGGATCTGGTGGCTTAAAACTCACGCCGGGCGTGTGTGCGTGCATGCCCAAGATCCTGAGAAGAGAATGGAGGAGAAGGGATTGCGGCATGGCCATCCCCCCTGGGGGGTGATTTCTCGCTTTCTGTCTCTCTGTCTCTGTCTGGCGAGTGCACGCGCCCCTATAGCGAAAACCTCCCCCCCAAAAAAATACATAAATGTTTAAGAAAACAAAACGTCCCTTCTCCTCAAGCACCGAAGAATTTCCCACCTCGCGCGTTCACCGCCATGTCTGCCAGGAAAGCCTCTGCTCCCCTCTGCCGCCCGGGCGCTCTGCACTGAGCTCACGTCAACCCCGCCCACCTCACGCTTCGACTTCCTGGCCAGCCGGGAGCCCCAACCACCCTCCAGACCCCTTCATGCTATGTGGGTCTTTTTAGATTATTTGGCACACTCCCTCTTGTCCAACAGTACTCTGCTGTCGCTGTCCTAGCGCCAGCTGGAGGGAGGACTGCGGTGTTGGCATCTCCGCCCGTGGTGCCGAACACGGAGGCTGGCGCTGGCGGGGACCCCCACTGCTGGCTGAACTGACGTCGGCTCTGGACTGAAGCCTCACCCCAGGCGCCCCTGGCTCCCTGAAGTCTCCGTGACCCCCTGTCACAACAGTTGGAAACTTTCACTCAAGGGAGCTGGCTGAGGTCCTTCTTTGCTATTTTTTCCTTTTTAAAAAAAGATAGCACATTTCCTCTTGCATTTTTTAGGCTTATTTATTCTTCTTCCCCTCTGGATATGACTTATTTTGAAAATGTGGCAAAGTCTTCTCCCAGGGCAGAGCGAGTCCTTAGGCTCTGCAGAAAGGCTCTGCAGGGGAGGGCAGGAGACAGGATCCAGGCAGGTGTTCCCACCACAGGGCTCCTGACCCAGCCTGTCAGCAGCTGCTCCTGGTCCCCAAGTGTCCTGGCAGCCATGTACTGAGTTGCTTTCTCCCTACCACCCAGCCCCTCCCAGGCAGGCAGCTTCTCCTTCCATCCTACCCACAATCCTTGGCTACCTCGTTAGGAACCTCTCCTTGTTTGCAGGGTAGGGCCTTGAGCCCTCCCTCCGAGGCAGAGGGCCAAGGGACCAGGGGCCAGGCTGCCACCATCGTACACAATGAATGGGGTTGGGCCACAGTGGACAGAGGTGGACACGCTGGACCTGGTGATCCCCAAGACTAGGAGGCAGCAGGGATGAGGTGGGAGAGGAGAAGAACTGAGGCTGAAATCTCCAAGGCAGTGCCACCCCGAAAGGTGAGAGGGCTCCTAGCCTCACATCCACTCACCTCTGTGGTCCATCATCCAGGGGAAATGGCCTCTTTACCGGCTTTGGGACCCTCAGGGCAAGGCCACATTTCCTTACCTGAATCCCTCTGTCCCCAGTCCTGTCCCAGGCCCAAGAACTAACACACACCAGAGACTGTGCCCTGCTGGGAGCGCTGTCCTTACACTGCTCCACCCCATGCCTAGAGAATTCGCCATTGCATTTTCATAAAGATAGCACCTCTTTACCCATACCCCCGCCCGACATTGCCCAGTCTGGCTGAACATCTTCGGTGACCACCAGAGAACGCCCGGTGGCCTGCCTGATATCTGAGGCACTCGAGGCTCTGCACAGTTGCCTCAGGCTACCCTTCCAGCCTCACTGCCCACCGACTGCCCGTACTGCCCTCTGTCCCCTCAGGGTGGGCACTGCTACAGCCCAGAAAGATGCCTAAGCCCCACCCTCTGCTCTGGCTGTTGTTGCCTAGAAGATTCTTTCTACTCTTTTTCACAAAGTTCTGTAGCATGCTCCCCCTTTTACTCCCTTACATGCACACACGGCAGGGATTGGAAAGAGACAACAAGAAGGCACCCTTCAGCGGGGCCTAGTCATGCCGCAGTCCTTCGTCCTCCAATTCTCCGTCCCGCCAGGATCCTGGACACACATGCATTTGGCGTGTTTTTTGAATTGCCTGGGTTGTACTTGAGCCCTGGCTGGCACTTAACTGCTGAGCCGCGGGGGCTGCCCACTCCCTCACATTTCAGCTGAGCTCCCCTGACCTTGCGCTCTAAGCCCTCAGAGCTGACAACGCTTACTGACAGTCCTCGGCTGCGGCGGCCTCTCATCTGTGGTGCCACTTTCCTAGGGGGGAGTATTCTAATCCGTTTTAAGGTTCCTGGCATGCCCTGTGGTGTCTGGCATCCTGCATGTTCCATTAGTACGCTCAGATAAACTGAAAGAACTGGGCCAGTGGCTCTTCTTTTTCTGCCCCTCACCTCCGCCCATGGAGGCTCTCCACCACCACGAGGGGCACAGAGTGCACGCCTCTCCAGGGCTGTCACAAGCTGGGGCAGGAGGGAACTGGACGAGGAAGGCTGGGGAAGGCAGCCCCAGGGCCAGCGAAACCCTTCCCTAGCGTTTGTCTCTGCTTCCCTACCCCCGCTCCCCAAACAGCAGGATGGTGCAAAAGGGCACAGGCCTGGGCCCTGGGAAACTGTACTTCTAGCTCCCCACGCAAGGTGGGGCTTGGCAGGCAACTTCCTTTGTCCGGGCCTTGGGCCCCACAGCTAATGACCTCTAAAGCCCCTTCAGGCTCTGCTCGGCACTTTCAAGGCAGCACAACCTCCCAGGCTGGCTGGGCAAGGTCCTACTGCTCTGGGCCCCAGGCAGGACGTGTGAGGGCTCAGGTGTCCTGGCCCCAGGTCACAAAGGAAGAACAGGGTGCTGAAGCACAAGCCAGGCTGCTCTCTGGGGTGGCACTATCTACCCATACTCCTCCACTCCTGCCATTCTCTTCCAACTCTATTTACTCCAGCCAAATACTTCACCCGCATACCTGACATCACCTCCAAAGCACGGCCAGAGGGAGGGGTCACATTCCCACAGGTGCTGCCACTGCCCGGCCCAGTCGGTGGAGCTGCCCCAGGAGGCAGAACCACCCCCGCCTGTGAGCTCGGCCTGCCAGGCAGGCACCCTTGGGAGAGGCCAACGTGCCCCTTCATGTGCATCTAGCCAGAGACGCCAGCTGGGATGTCATCCAGAAGTCAGTCAGTTATTTATTTATGCATTTACTTATTTAATTTATTTATTTAAGAGAGATTTTTGCTATAGGGTGCTTGTGCTCACCAGAGAGACAGAGAGACAGAAAGCGAGAATCACCCCCCAGGGGTAATGGTTATG